CATTTTACAGATCTGGCTTATTTTTTCTTTTTTTAACTACTGATTCCTCACTTCTCAGATAGATGCACTCTTTTACAACATGCTTATTGGGGGTGGGGGGAGAAGTGGGAGTAAGTCTATTCTTTTTCTTCTCTCTCTCGGATAATGGGGCACAGGAAACCCTTAAAGGAAGCATCAAGGAATGAAAATTTGTCATTTGTATTCTTTTACTAGGCCATACAGTTTAAGACTGCAAGTGTTGTTGTTTTCTTCTTCAAAATGCCATGGAGTTTAGTATTGTGTTAGTTACTCAGACATGTTAGGCTACGCTATATGAGGTAGTATGATCAGTTCCCTGTCTCGTTGTCTTCCTTCCCAGATAATTACCTGGTACATATTTTTATGAGACACAGTCTACAACGATCTTTCCCCTTTTATTTTTAATAAATAATCTTGCCTGTGATGGAGATTTAACCCAGACCAGTGTCTTGGCAGGTTAACACTCTAACCACTGTGCCTCATAGGTCCTTTCTAATACCAACTGTTTCATTATATGTGGGAGTTGCCATGTGCAGTGGCTGCATGCTTGCCTGTGGATCTGAAGTTGTGGGCTCCAATACGAATAGAATAGAACCTTCTTAAAAAATGACCTTGGCTCCTAGGTCAACCTAGTCTTAAGCGGGTACCAGGTAGAGTCCTGGAAGTAAAGGCAGCCAGCGTGTTGACCACATCACCCACCTAGTGCTAACTGGTCTATAAAATATAGGTCTAGTCATACATGCCCAATATTTCTGAAGGAATGGAAAAGGGTACTTCTCTTGTACTTGTCTATGTGCAGTCACATCTTTCTACCTATTTCACTAAAGTCAACAACATGCCCAGCACAGCAGTATCTGCTGAGGTTTTCAATTGATCTCCTATATAAAGAAAATGGGTATCAGGTACTGTCCTGGGAAGTAAAGGTGGCTGGCATGATACTGACCATGCCAGATGATCTATAAAATCACCAGTCTAGCACTAAATGCCCAAAGGTGTGAAAAGGGTCCCTGACCTTTACTTACTTCCTGTGCCTGGCAATGTACAAAATTAGTGCCACTGAAAATTTATATACATTCATCAAATTCTTGCCTGTATCATTTACATTGGTAACAGATTTCATGTTTCCAGCCTTTGGAATTATAAGTACAGTGGTACCTCAGAATTCGAATGCCTGAAATCTCAAACAGCTATATAGTGCTTACAGTGTACTGTATTTTGGAAAATACATTTTAAAATGTGAATTTGTTAGACCCTGAAACAGGTTAATTTAGTTTCCATTATATTCAATTGGAAAAATTGCCCTGGAACTCAAAAGATGTGGAATTCACGCGCCACCTTGAAATGGATTATGTTTGAATTCAGAGGTACCACTGTATAAATGTCTGTAGATAAATTCATGCCTTCAAATTATAAGTACCACAATACTCATGCGTTGTATTCAGTGTAAAATGATGATATCATGATATGTATTACTTCTTGAATATATATTAATAAATATGTTCAACATTATAAACAGTATGTACTGGTGTTGACTCTTTAACACACAAAAACTCAATGTTTTGAAAACAGTAACAAGACAAAACTTCTGGTCAAGAGAAACACCGGTGCATGCCAATCTTTACAGGTCGCTGAGTGAATAACAAAAGACAGTGAAGTTCATACAAGAGACAACTTTGCCGATTTAATCTATTTCAAGCGAACAAAAGAAGAAGAAGAAGAAGAAGAAATAAGACAATCATTTATCAAGTGAGGGAAAAAAGGATAATTTTAAGTGAGAACTGATAACCAGCAGAACAAAAGTTTGGCCTGCTTCTGTTGTTTTTGTTCCTGCACTTATGAGGAAAATATAACTCAGATCGAGGCAGCCATTAGAACCCACTGGAATACTTCCCATGCAGGACACAATCCTGAAGATCCAGTCAACCTTCTCACATGAAAGAAACAGACCGTTATAATTAGAATGTGTCCTGGACACAAAACAGACTCTGCAGCTATATCTAAAGGAAACTCAAGATGTGAGATTCAGAACTTTGCCTGTGTGAATATTGAACATGGGCATGCTGTCTACATGCGGTGGAGAAATCGCAGGTTAGGCGGTTGGTATTCTAGTAGAAACCAACTGTACGGAACAATCAAAGACCTGCATCACACCGCAGACTTCACAGAAGATTGTGGCCTTCTCATCTGAAAACTATTGGCAGGAAGAATGAAAAGAAGAGTGTCTGTTGTTAATTTTGCATGTACCAACCAGTTGTTACTTTTATTGTTTTCTATGCCAGAGAGAAGTATTTTAGAGTAAAAGATTATATAAACTGGGAATAAAAGGTTGAAATAACTGTCGATGCCTGCCTTAGATACCAGGCTATTACTTGGTGTAGTCTTTAAGGGTCCTTAACTATAACTTCTTAGTAGACTGAACATGGTATCTGAGATCTGCACATCCAGAATTAGACTGTTGAAGCTGTAGGGGTGATTAAATCTTTATGTAGAAGCATATGGTGGGCAATGCACAGTATTTTCGATGAATTGTGTATTACTTGATGGCCAAAGTAGTACTTTGTAATAGTATTTTAAAGTTTGACATTTTTGGGCTAGAAAAGCTGGAAATTACAGCAGTGCGCAGATGTTAAAGTAAGTTTAGTTAGTATAGATTTTTGTCGAACTATCTGCGACAAAAAAGAGTTAAGAAAGTATGTTAGACATCCCTTATAAAAGGTTTGGTGCAGTGTTTGAAATGGGATGAGTTCACTGAAATTATATTTAAGCAAAGTAAGCAATGTCTATTCTATTTTGGTGATCATCACTGTTGTTACCTGCCAGGCTTCTTCTACAGAAAATGGGCTATTGATATTGCTAATTCATTTTAATGCCACAGCTCTCTGCTCCTACAATGGTTTCTCAGGTAATGTTATGAGGTCGCAAAGTTTCACTTCTGTAAAAATGTTCCATGAATATAACATACAGCCATAAATTACACCAGCTTTGAATAATTGCTATTATACTGAAAACAATATTTTTAAAAATATGTCGGTTAGGTTCACGTAAACCTCCCTAAACAAAGTAGGTCACTTTTCATTCACAAGTTTGTTGGGCTGGTCGACTTTCCTGAAGGTTACGGGTGTGTCCCGCTCTGTTGTTTGCTTTCTGCGTTATCTTGCATTTACATTTTCATTCCGAGAAAAAGAATGCCTGTGACATAGGTTGCAGCACTCTCTCAGGGGGTTGTGTTAGGGTCAGTTTCTCCATGTTTGGTCAGTTTCTCCATGTTTTTGGAGCATTAAAAGCGCTGAAATATACAACATATGATATCAACGACATTGCGGAACACCCCAGTAACCTTGTGCCAAGGTAACAGGTTCAGAAACTACCAATCAGAAGTGAGCTAGTGTCTGTATGGGCGGGGCAAGGGGAGATTACCGTTACTTTAACCAACATATTTATTATGATGAATCCTCCCTATATGATTTCATTACTGACTGGATGAAAACACCCATGCTAATTCGTCAGATACCTTTCAATTTTTGCTTACCCTTCAAAGTTTTTATAAAACAGATTAGGAATTTGTCACAACACCAAATATAATTTCAAATAAAGAAGTCACAATAACTTACTTGTTACTCTAGGTAGCTGCTCTACTAGTTTAAAGATCTAATTACTAATTAGTCAAATTGTTTGAATTTGTAAGAGTTGAAAATATATAAATCATAGTTACAGTAATATCACAGGGATGTAAGCACATTAATTAATTGCCAACCATGTTTATACAGACTTCTTCTATCTTTTATCTTTCACTGGAACATAGACCCCCAACCAACTCACACCAGGTCCTTTGTACACTTTTCCATGATTGGTTCAAGTTCTTTGTATGATTGTCCATTATTGGTTGCATTTGGCAACTAAAATTGTCAGTGTGGTGAGTTAGTCAGTCTTGTACCTGCTGCAACTCCATTCTCAAGATGTTAAACACTGGAATAAAGCTTCAACACTCACAGTGTGCTAAACCAGATAGCACAGGTGTAATCCAGTCATCTGTTTTATGTGTTCTTGTCTTTAGATTAGTTTGTGCTAGAAACCAGAAAAGCCATCTACAAAAAAAAAAAAACATGGAAAGGAAGCAAAGTGAATTTAAATGTTTAATAAGTCTATTTTGGATCTTGTTTCTGATTCTGTCTCAGTATAAAATATGTTGTCCTCCTTTAAAATAGAAATAGAATATAGAAATGGAAAAGCGCCAAAAAGTTGACAGATTCTACGATGAACTCAACGCAGCCCTGAATCAACTTCGCGCGCAAAAGCAAAAAAAAAGGAAACATGGCACGCCTAACAGAAGAGGTTATCGCCAGTTCTAAAGCCACAAAAGAGAGCCCAATTAACAAGCCGCCATATTCACGGACAGCTCAACATCGATCGCCAGACCTGATAGCAGAGACCCCGCCCATCCCCGTTCCAGGCCGCCACAGGCAAATATGGCAGCCCTTCTTAGGGCTGCCACACCCACTCCCAAAAAGCCGGACTACACCAGCCAAGCCGGATCAAGCAGACACGACGCAGCAGCAAATACCCGAACTTAGGCGAAAAAGATCGCCACAACGAATCAAATTGAATCAGATAGCAAAGAAACCGTCTTCAATAAAGCAGGCCTTCGGGCAGCTGAAAGAGGACCAAATTTGACATTTTTGTTTGGTTTCTACCATTACGATTAAAATATTAGGTGGGTATTTCAACTTTAGGACTTGTACTAGAACGATTTGTATTTGTATATTTAGAGTTATGATGACTTGTTATCTATATAAACAAACACAAACAAACTGAAAATTTACAAAGAAGAAAAAACATGAGAATATGTTTTATTTGTAAACTTTTCAGATCAAAATGGAATCTTATCATATAGAACATAACAAATGACAAAATAACAGCACGTGTACAAGGTTTTAAAAATATATAACTGCCTAAAATATGATGAAGCCTGTAATAAAATTACATTAAAATGAAGTCACATGGTTCAGCTGCCTGTGTGTAAAGAAGCGATGGCGAGTCTGCTCTCCTTTGTCATCTTTTGACTTGAAATATTGTGACAGAACTGTGTTTCCTTGAGATGCTGCATCTGCTTCATCTTCATCATCCTCCCTACAATAAAACACACGTTTGAAAAAAAAAATTACATGACATAAAAGATAATTACACCGGCAGAATATAGATTTAAGAGTGATTATCTAAAAAAGATGGTCTCCGACCCTTTTCAGGCGGCGCCTTCATTGAGTATATGGCAAGGTATCCCCTTTCCAAACAAAATTTGATTAAAAAGAGGCCCCCCCCCCCCCCCCCCCCACCAAAAACATCCTAAGTACTGTTGTCAAGAATTTATAGAAAAATACGCACATAATTCAGTGTGTCAAAAAAATATAAAAAATATATTTAAAAAAACACAAAGTTAATAAATAAATAAAACAGCAATCACCAATAACTGGTAATGTAGTATACAACTAGCAATGTGATTCTTGACACTGTTTTGTCTGGACCATATCTGCTATTGTTGGTTTGATGTTGCTCAAGGCACATTGGAGATCACTCTCCGCATCAAGCTGTCAGCAATGTTTTGGTTTCATGACCATTAAAACTCAAAAGCTGGATTATTGCAAGTACACTCAATTTCAAAACTGCTCCCCCCCCCCCCCCCCCCCCCCCCCCCGGTTAGAGACCACATTGATCTTAAGTGATAAACAATAACATTTTTTTTTTACATGGAGTATAGTGAAACATTAAGTATGAGCAATACATCTGTACGATGCAGAAGTACTGATGACGGAAAGATAGAACACTGAACTGACGCCCAAGAGTTGTGATTATACATAAATCTATGTAGTATTTCATGAAAGCAGCAAACAAATTAGGTTTAAAAAAAAAACGTTTTTCATTAAATTTGACAGGAAAAGAAAACTGATGGAACAAATAATGGGATCAATTTTTGCACAAAGTGAAGTATAAGAGACACTCAAATCACATGGAATAGAACAACAAACAATTTATTACCATTTTACTGCAACACTGCATAAATTTACCAATAAACTAATTCATTACCATTTTACTGCAAACACTGCCTAAATTTACCAATCAAACAATTAATTACCATTTTACTACAACACTGCCTAAATTTACCAATCAAACAATTAATTACCATTTTACTACAACACTGCCTAAATTTACCAATCAAACAATTTATTACCATTTTACTGCAACACCATTCTTCTCTATTATGAGAGAAGCTGTAGACCAGCTGAAGCGAACAAAAGATGGAAATCCAAAAACCTTGTCAAAGCTGTTTTCTAAAAACTTTTTTGTTTTTGGATCTGAAACAAAAAAAAGTTAAGGAAAAAAAGCTTTAATGATCATGAAGTGGTTTAGTGCTTGCAATGAGTGATGATCCCCCCTTCAGGACCGCACAACAAGCGATAAACATCCAGTGACACAAAATGACATCATTTGGATGAGAATTTCCTAGGCACAAGTCCCAGAAACCCTGTTCAACCATCAGGTTTTATTACAGCTCCCGATGACAACGGGGGTGTGGCCAAAAATTGCGTCCCATATTGAGTGAGACGGGTGTAACAGTGCTGGCATTAATCACCCACTGGCTCTTATTCGCTATCAGTGTTTCATAGTTCAGTACAGAAAACACTCATTCATAACATTTTTTTTTCACTTCCTCTTTTACCGATTCAGATATCGAGCAAGATTTAAGGTCCTGCTTCTAGTTTTTTTGGGGCTATCTCAACCAGACACATTATGTTTTTGCAAAAATTCTCTGATGTTTTCTTTCATTTTGTTCTTGGTCTACCTTGTACACTATATCCTTCTCCTCCTTTGGTGTATGGCTTGTATGGTATGGCATCAGAAGGCATTATTTATAAGTGGGCAAATCACTGCTACCTGGCACTGGTAGCAAAGGGTAGGAATGAACATACTTTGTAAGAGATGTTTCTTTGTGCTGAACAGGATTGTCTTATTCTATAAGAAAGGGGCAAGCTGTCTCAATGGTCTCAATTTTAGTCACGAAAGTGACGCAAATAACCCAGACCACAAATATAGGCGGAAACTGTTAGCAGCCTCGGATAGCTAGCAGCAGTCTGAAAGTGGTTGACCTTTTAATATTTTTCTAAAAAGGAATCGGAATCTCAATGGTTGGTTTGCTTTCCTGCGTCAGATGTTAATTTCTTGATCTATTCTCCCATCTTCAGTGAATGTTGTTCTCAGATATTAAAACTCAGATGTCTGTTTGATGCCCTTGATCTCTACTTCTTTATTTAGGCACTGTTTCTTTCTTCCAACTGACATTATTAAACATAATGTAATATTAAAGTCAAGCCCTATAACTAGAATCAGATATAATAATAACAAGTAAGTAAAGCTTCTTTGTGCCTCTAGTGCACAGGGCATAGAGTAATCTATAATTGTATAAATCAATCGGCGCTCTCTGGGTGATGCGGTCAACACAACACTGTGCATTTTTTACCTCACATTTACTGGTACCCATTTTAGGCTGGGTCAAGCAGGGAGCCAATGTTAATTCTGAAACAGAACCTAACTAAATGCGTATCTGAACTCTAAACCTTCAGGCCAGCAGGCGGACATCTAACCATTACACCACTGTGGTTCCCATTAAATTAGTATTATCCTCCGAATAATGGCCACATATTATGGCCCCACAAAAACATCATAACAGGGCCTCAGTCACATGTAAATTGCGCACTTCCAGCGACTACCGCCACGTGTATCTCGCAAGCCGCTATGCGCGGCATGGATTGGGGCTAAACTAGATAGCTGGGACTCACGAGCAGCAGCTTCCGCATCTCCTGCAACTATGCTCATCCCAGCCATCTGGTTTAGCCCCAATCTACGCCGCGCGTAGCGGCGTGGAGATACTCTCGGGGGTGGCTGTATAGTCGCCAGAAGTCCGCAATTTACATGTGACTGAGGCCCTGTTTTTGGCTGCCATAATATGTGGCCGTTATTCTGAGGATAGCCACCTTTTTTTTATATACAGAACGTCAACTTAATTCCTCATGTTTTTTCAAGCTTACATGCAATTTACTAGATTTTAAAAAAGTATTAAACTTCTAACAATGGTATTTCTTGAATTAACACTCCAAAGTTGACAAATAATCTATAATACAACAGCTCTAAACTTTGCTACCCCAAAAAAACACAGAAGATTTAATTACCGCCTGGGTAGCCTGAACCATAATCAGATTCTTTCAAAATTATTCCTTCCATAAACTCCCAGTTTTTGACTGCATGATCTCTGGACACCTAGTTGTTTGAAAAAAAAGAAAAGAACAGGACTCAAATAAGTGAAGCAAAGTAATTAAGCCAACTCCTAGCAGATATTTCATGTTAAATGGCGAAGGAGTAAATTACAGCAATAAACATCAGCATAACAAGAATAAAAGACACAAACAACAGACTGCATAATTTATTGCCTAGCATATTTCGCTGTATCTCTCTCACAATAGCAACAATTACATAAAGAAAACAAGACACAGTGAAATTTGCCAGGCAATAAATTGTGCTATCTATTGTTTGTGTCCTTCTTTGTTCAAATTTACAGCAGAAAAATACTGCTTTAATTTTCTGAAAGAATAAAAGAAATGATTGTAGTCAGTGACTCTTGGCCTGACTGCCCTCTGAAGGGCCATAGAAGCATATTTAAACTTCTGCGCAGTAACATTTTGAAGAGTACATTATATGAAGTGAAGGTTCAGTGAAAAATTACAGCAGTAAACTGTTAAAGCTTTGAAGCTGTCATGGCCCATGAAATATTGTACAGAGATTTAACCTTGTTCCCCTGAGAAAGCCTTTTTTTTTAAATCCAGCATTTACAGGGTTTTGATGATCTTTGGACGGTGGTGTTACCTCTGTATAAGGGTTCTGGTACTGGTTGCATCTGCATAGTGTATAAACATGGTGCGTATGATTATGTTTAATTAATATGATTTCAGCGGTTTTGCTGCTGCGATGCCACAGTGGCCATCACACTTGCCTATCTGCTCGGTGGTCAGAGATTTCAACTCCCTAAATTTTTATAACATAACATAAGCCTTGACCCGTTAGGATCATGGAGGTATATTGATGGAAGCACTAGCACATTAAACCCACCATCTTTCTGTATTCTGCTTGATGAAAAAGTGTATAACTTAGTCCTGTCCATTTCTTGACATCATTCCAGATCTTCTTTGTACTCCTCTTCTTTGACTACCCTTCAATCAATGTTCCTTGAAAAAGTCTTTGCAATCGAATCCACGTGCCCAAACCTAGCTTGCTTACGATATTTTCCCACCGCCAAGAGAGGCAGTTTTTATAAAAACTGACCAAGAATAGACATTTCTTCTCTTCCTCTTGTTTCTCAATGAAGAGTTTTGGAGAATTACGAGGGGAAGTCAATAAGTAAGTCACAGATGCTTGTCTAAAAAACAAAATAAAGATGATAACTTGAAAAGCGTTTATTTTTACACATGCACTGTCTCTTTATTTTTCAATGCATTTGTCCCATCCTTTTATCAGTCTTCCCAAACCTGCTGCACAGAACTGCATGCTCTGGTTTTTAAACCACATTTTCACATTCAACTATTGCATCATTCGTGAGATGTCTCCTGCCAAGGTAGGTTTTCAATGGACCAAAAAGGTGAAAATCACTAGGGGTTAAGTCAGGGCCTTGAGGTGGATGTTTCAGAAGTTCCCACCCTAGACGGTTAATTTTCTCCTGAGTTAACTGAGCCATATATGGTTTGGCATTGTGGTTATCCCCCGAATAACAGTCCTAAATTATCGAAGTGGAAAATATACCCTAACAGGGCCTCAGTCACGTGTCAATTGCGCGCTTCCTGGGACTATAATGCCACCGCCGAATTGCGAACTTACGGCAACTTCCGCCGAGAGTATCCCCTACGCCGCGTGAGCGGGTCTAAACTAGATGGCTAGGACTCATGAGAAAATAAAATGAAGGACGCTGCAGGAGATGCGGTAGCCATTCTAGGGAGTGCGCAATTTAAGACGACGGAAGTGCGCAATTGACACATCACTGAGGCTCTGTTAGGGTATATTTTCCCCCTTGATAATTTAGGACCGTTATTCCGAGGATAGCCGGCATTGTAATGAAGGAGCAGAGCTCCTTCAGTCAGCAGGCCTGGACAATTTCTTCAAACTGCACCATGAAGCATTGATAGAACTTTACAGTATGAATCAGCATTCACATTGTCACCTTTTTTTTTTTTTTTTTGGTTACAAGCACTCCTTGACAATCACAGAACACTGTCAGCATAACCTTTCCAGCTGATGGCGTAAACTTGAATTTTTGAACACAAGGCGAAGAAGGATGTTTCCATTGCACTGAAGCACACTTTGATTCAGGCTGATAGTGATGTATCCATGATTCAACCCCACTAATAATCCTGTTCAGCATGTATTCTCCTTCATCTGCGTATCGACAAAGATGCTGAGCACCCTAATGCAGCTGCTACAGAGTCAACTGTTACTCGCCTGTCTCCTCTAATCGTATCCTCTACCTGCTGTGCAGATGTGTCTGTTGCAATCTCAGAAAGACGACCAGATGGGACTTCATCAACAATTTTAGAGCGCCCTTGAGAAATTTTTTTTTAGCCTGCTATGCACCGCTTTAAGGATAAACATTTGTCAGCATAAACAAACAGGAAGCTTTCCCTTATAAATGTCCTTTGCAGACAGCCCCTTTGCCCCCCCCCCCCCCCCTAAAAAAACCGCAAACAGCACGTTGTTCTTTATCTCTTTGAGTCCCGGGGGGTTAAGCATCACAGGCCCAGGGGGTAGTAAATAAAGTAATAAAATCGGCGCATCATGCGTTCATTGGGCTTCTAGGTAGGAACCTATGAACGTATGATGCCTTCCTTGGGACTCAAAGAGTTAAGGACTCCATAAGTACAGTCCCCATTTTGATTCTGTTTTGTGAATGCAACACCTAGCGCCATCTAATGAACGGAGACAAAGTTTGAATGTTGCTGTCACCTAACGACACCACCAACTACATTTTCCTGCCATCCCAAAACTATTTGTGACTTACTTATTGACTTCCCCTCATATAAAGATGCATTTCTCTTTAACGAAATTTTGAAAAAGGTAATTTCTTAAGATTCCTAATGGAGAAAAAGGTTAACAGCCCTAAGACAGACAATCAAATTTAGATATTAACCAGGATCAGATTAGTGAGAAAAACATGAAAGAAGAATACTAAATAAATTTTTGTGTATGTACACACAAATGGGTGTGCACGCAAGCATGCACCACACAATTATATATTTTTTCTCTTCAATTGTAGTCTAAACACGCCATTGTGTTAAATGTGATGTATTTTTCAGAATTAACTTCAGTATTATTAACAAATAACTGACTATTCAAGACTACCATATCAATTAAAAATTATATTATTAATTAAAATCTTATGATTACCTTATTAATTACCCATTAATAAAAACTATTATTTAACTGCCTATCAAAGATTACCTTGGCACATATACTTGCAGCACTAACAATTGGGTACAAAGAGTCTGCCTTTTTGGCAACTGTGACATCAATGCTAGGGAAAAGTTCTTTCAGCTTGGCCTGATATTTTACTGGGTCTCCTACTGTATCGACATATACCTGCAGACAAAGAAACGTATCACATGACAACATATGAAACGTCACAGAAACATATCTCTTCTTCTTCTTTGTTCATTGACTATGAGCTCCGGCGGAAAGTCCTGGTTGTTGGTCCATCTGGACTCTGGCTTTGTACCGGGTCTGAGTTTTGCATGTACATCCATTTTACTGGCTTATTTATGTGCATTTGGTTGTTCATTGCCACTCAGGCAGATGCATTCCGACTTTGAAGGAAGCTTCCAATTAGTTGACTCTTTTGACATGCTTTTTTGGTTAGGCAGTGGGTCTATTCTTGTTTACCCCACAATAAAGCCCTGGAATCAACATGGGGATCACAGACATATTAAGTGCTCATTTTCTTTCAAAGAAACAGAACATTGCTCTTTTAACGGCTTACAAATTTTCCAGCTCTGTGTGCTTTCATAGTCAATGCATCTTCAATGTCCTGTGTTCACCTACGCGGAGATCAGCCTCTGCCTCATCTTCCAGCTCTGTGTGCTTTCCTAGTCAATGCATCTTCAATGTCCTGTGTTCGCCTACGCAAAGATCAGCCTCTGCCTCATTTTCCAGCTTTGTGTGCTTTCCTAGTCAATGCATCTTCAATGTCCTGTGTTCACCTACGCGAAGATCAGCCTCTGCTTCATCTTCCAGCTCTGTGTGCTTTCCTAGTCAATGCATCTTCAATGTCCTGTGTTCACCTACGCGGAGATCAGCCTCTGCCTCATCTTCCAGCTTTGTGTGCTTTCCTAGTCAATGCATCTTCAATGTCCTGTGTTCACCTACGCGGAGATCAGCCTCTGCCTCATCTTCCAACTCTGTGTGCTTTCCTAGTCAATGCATCTTCAATGTCCTGTGTTCGCCTACGCAAAGATCAGCCTCTGCCTCATTTTCCAGCTTTGTGTGCTTTCCTAGTCAATGCATCTTCAATGTCCTGTGTTCACCTACGCGAAGATCAGCCTCTGCTTCATCTTCCAGCTCTGTGTGCTTTCCTAGTCAATGCATCTTCAATGTCCTGTGTTCACCTACGCGGAGATCAGCCTCTGCCTCATCTTCCAGCTTTGTGTGCTTTCCTAGTCAATGCATCTTCAATGTCCTGTGTTCACCTACGTGGAGATCAGCCTCTGCCTCATCTTCCAGCTTTGTGTGCTTTCCTAGTCAATGCATCTTCAATGTCCTGTGTTCACCTACGCGGAGATCAGCCTCTGCCACATCTTCCAAAAACTGCACCCTCCATCACTGTTCTCTCCAGACCACCACATCGCTTGACAGGTCAAAAAGACCTCAGCTTTCAGGAGAGGATACTGTTTACGAGCCAGTTCTCTTTGACGTTCAGGTCAAGATGTTGACGTAATATCTGACATAATTTTATTTATAAAGTAAAGGACCCTATGGAGAATTTGTGGAGGTCAAAAGAAATTTTAAAAATACTAAACTAAAAATGTTTAATTCTTATGTCAAATCAGTACTTTTATATGGGGCGGAAACATGAAGAACAACTAAGGCAATTACTAATAAACTACAAACATTGATTAGCTGGTGCCTGCGCAGAATAGAAGGAATTAAATGGTATGACAGAATAATGTAGAGCTTTTGGAGAGAACTAAACAGGTTCCAGTGGACCAAGAGTTGAGGAAAAGACGCTGGCGTTAGATAGGACACACACTGAGAAAACAGCATAACTAGAACATCTTTGCATTGGAACACACAGGGGCATAGGAATAAAGGAAGGCCAAAAAACACATGGAGAAGAGAGCTGGAGAATGAAGTTAGAAAGATGGGGAGGACATGGGGAGAGCTCCATGCAATGGCGAAGGATAGAACGACTTGCTGAGTTAGTTGAGGGCCTATGCTCCATTGGGGGATAGAAAGGCAGAAGAAGAAGAAGAAAGGACCCTTAAGTTCAGTGGGCATAGATGATACTGGACATATATTTGTACATACCAGACGACACTTTGTGAGTTATGTCATCAACATCATTCTGGGAATATTTACTTTTGCTTACTTCCTACGCCTATGACCAAAATTTATTCTAATGCAGATATGAACACAAGACCTGCCCCAGTCTGGTAAACCTCCAGTACAGTGCTACTGCTATATTAGGTCACAGCATAATTAGATTAGGTGACCAGCTCTCTTCCTCATCACGCTACTCCTTCCTCCACCCCACACTCACACAAACAATTCCTGGTATCTTCTTACAAACATGGGTCCGCCACAGGGCTGGATGGGACAGCTAAATGATCACCATTTGGAAATAGTTCTGTTCTTCTTCATAAAGTTCATGCAGTGTGTCGCTGGTAGTCATGTCTATCCACAACCTTCTGTTTCGTGTACTTTCAATCAGCTCTGACACAGATGACCCTCCATGCCATGATGTCAAACTGATAAGCATCTTCTCTCTTAATCTCCATCTGCTTCCCTTCCCCTCCAACATTTTTCTGTGGGTTTTCTCTGTTATTTGTAAAAAAAAAGTCTATCTGCTAATTTTATTATGAAAATAAATTAGAATTACTAAAGAAAAAAATTCAATAACTATGGCAGCCTTCAGACACCCACTGTGATGATCATTTTCCTTAACAGGATTAAATAAATAACAGTAAACATGAGTTAACAACTGACAAATGGTACCTCAGTGACATTGACACCTCTCTCCAGGGCAGTGTTAATTAACCCTATAGCACAGTCATGGGACAAGGCATTTAGATTATATTTCTCTCTGAAATAAAAATTATAGCACAGTCATGGGACAAGGCATTTAGATTATATTTCTCTCTGAAATGAAAATTATAGCACAGTCATGGGACAAGGCATTCATAATTCTCTATAAAATGAAAATTATGTAGCAGTCACGAGATAAGACAGTCATATTATATTTCTCTATAAAATGAAAATTATGTAGCAGTCACGAGATAAGACATTCATATTATATTTCTCTATGAAATAAAAATTATGTAGCAGTCACGAGATAAAACATTCACATTATATTTCTCTCTGAAATAAAATTATGTAGCAGTCACGAGACAAGACATTCACATTATATTTCTCTCTGAAATGAAAATTATCTAGCAGTCACGAGACAAGGCATTTACATTATATTTCTCTCTGAAATGAAAATGATATAGCAGTCATGAGACAAGACATTCACATTATATTTCTCTCTGAAATGAAAATGATATAGCAGTCATGAGACAAGGCATTTACATTATATTTCTCTCTGAAATAAAAATGATACAGCAGTCACGAGATAAGACATTCACATTATATTTCTCTCTGAAATGAAAATCATGTAGCAGTCACGAGACAAGACATTGACATTATATTTCTCTCTGAAATGAAAATTATTCCTTTACACTTTTCCAGGTTCATTCAAGAGCAATAATAATTCTATCATCTAACATTTTATTTGAACAATGTGAATAGATGGGTAAATAAAGTAAAAGACTGGTTTTCATGCCTTCGGGCATATTGGGCATTGTTGCGTGTCCATTCAGGGGTATGAACATTGTTTATGTTAATTCAAGTACAGGCTTGGTTGACCAGGCCAGTGAGATGGGGGGCCTCAAGTTATTACCATATATTCAGGGAAAGTGGGTGGGATACCAAAATAAAACAAAATTAAAAACAAGTTGAAAACCATTGTACTAACTAAACCTCACAAGTTATCTTCCGCTTGCTTCCCACCTTTACCTAGTATAGTTTTCAACAGGATAAATGTATTTTAATGCGCCAAAACTTTCTTATCGAACCATAATCTTCATTAGCATTTCTTTTAACTTCTACTTTCTATTTAAGATTTTTTTATTCGTTAAGTTTATATCTACATGATGTTTGTGCCGTTTTTAAAATTTACATTACAACAGCACGAAATAGTAAGTAATTCTTTCTTATTATTATTTATTTAAAGTCCATGAATTTACATCATATTATAATGTAAGCTGCATGACTCTCAGTGTTAATCAGTAAGTTTTATTAGAACATTTAACACGTTAAATACACTACAACACTTGCAGAACATATATTTTGTTGCAGACATAAATCAAAGTTGAAGAAGTGTTTAAATATATGAATTCCATTAACTGTAAAAATGTAAGAGAAAAAATGGTCACCTTCTAAGCATGCTTGTAGAGATATAGACTGGTGAGAGAATCTCCACCATCCATCCCAGCATATCCAATGACTCATTCATTGTTCCAAAAACATTGTCCCTTTGCTCTTCAGTTAAAGTTTTGGAATCTGGATAACATAAGACCAATATAAGAGGATTAGCATGTGTATTCAACATTCTAGTCTACTATTTTCTCTCTACTGCTTTTCAGGGTTTGTTCCCTTTATTTTTTCCTGCGAATGCTCCCAATGTGCGTTAAAAAAAACAATTAAACATTTTTAAAATGGAGGAAAAATATCCTACCTGCAAACTTCATTTTTGAGAACTTATCTTTGTCTGCTAGCGGGCTAAAGCATATGCCATACACCATTGGTCCTGTGGAGGATGACAGATACTGTGAATAAATTAACACAAAAGACAAGCAGTTGTGACAGAACTTGAGAACAAAACTACTTTACCTGCTTTGCATTATATAAGGGAATAATATCTGTGTGTGATGCAAGTTTACTGCAAAATGTTTATGAACCAAAACAAATTATTTGTGCAACTGATGGAAGAAAATAAGCTTTCAATGTAGAATATGAAAGCCGTTGTCTTCTGGTATCTTAACAAGAAGAAGAATAAATGTTGTATTTATTTCTTCTCCCCCAAATGAGCACCGGCCCTAGTCACAATTCATTCCACTTAGCTGACCAAATGTCATCCTTATCTTATTAATTAACCTTAGTCTAATTCTATGTGTTTTCTAGTTATATTATCATGTTTTCTTAATGTGCATCCTATCCAATACCACGTATTAACTGACAGCGAAGAAACAATGTTTACGACTTTTAAGTGACATTTAAATTCCTCACAGCACTTCTTTTGGAACTGGGTTTGTCTTAATTCTTGAAACCCCAACTCTCTCAGGTTAAATTCGGTGACGCACCTTGTGTCCAGGGCAATTTCGTGACAGCAATTTGGATATTGGTCATGGATGGTTTCTTGACCAGGACGCAAAAGGTGGCGGGCATTGCCACTATAGAGTAGTTGCTAGATGTTTGCTGAAGGTCTTGAGTTCAAATGCACACTGCTAGCTATAGATTTGGAAAAGAAAAAAAGACAAAAATGACTGGCTCTCCGGCTAACTCACCCTAAAATGGATACCAGACGATGTGATAGGAAATAAAGAATGTTGCATAATGCTGACCACCTCAACCAGTCAGTCCCGACTGGTCTATTAATTTATGAGTCACCAACTGAATTCAACTTACAGTATTACTGGTCCCAAAATCCAGACATAAGACATACCCTACTGTATTAAAATGGATTCTCTTTTAACAATGCTTATATTATAAAATGCACTATAGTTTCTATGCTTCGACTTGGTATCAAATGTATTACGGTGGTCTCCAAGAATTAGAACACTTCAAAACTTAAAAACTGGAATAAGAATGAAATATTTAAGCAAATTTTGCCTCAGAACTCAAATGCCACCTTGGAAACTGAAACCCTGGCATGTGCCAACCACAAGACTGAGCTGACAATGCAACAGCTTCAGCATCTTTACCAGCAGCAGAAGGTTAAAACTTCTTCCGGTCAGGAAAAGGGGTAAGCTGGAAGGATTAGCACTGCTGAAGGACAAGATCTTTGACCATGTGGTCGAAAACGCAAGAAGCTGAGAGGTGGCACACTTAGCTCAAGTTAACAAGTATGTAAACTTACTCAATGATAACATTAACGAACATATACAAACAAAATTTACAAATGGTTGCCAACGCCAGAGCACTTTGGAACGCTGATTTCAACAAAAACTAGTGACCTCAATACCCTCTACAAGCGGGTGGTGACCAACTACAATATGAAACATCAGAAAGGATTCCTCATGTTATCACGGAAGGTGACTCAGCATCTGAACAATTATCTCCCTAAATCCCCTCTCCTACTTCTGTGTGCCGTCAACATTTTCATCAAGGTACAGCAAATACAATATTGTTATATCTTTTTTTTTTAAATTTACCTATTCTTGTATTCAAATATGATCATGATGTGTTACTATATTTACCGTGTACTGGATTTAGGAAAATACATTTAAAAATTTCAGCTTGCTGGACCCTAGAAAAGAGGAATTAGTTTTTATTATTTTCAGTGGCGACAAAAATTGTCTTAGAACTTTAATGCCATATCTGGATTATGTTACAGTTTTGAGGTACCATTGCATAGTACAGCAAGGGCACTGCAATTAAAACATTAAGTAAAATAGTAAACTACATAGATATTGATTTTCTTTTTTTTAGGTAAGTGGGAAACAAATACAAACATCTATTATCTGTGCATTATGTGTAGGTAAATGAATGCATCTGCTAAATGGTCTCTCTCTATTAATGAACACTATCAGAGCTTCAGAGATACTTCTGTAAGCAATTTTCTTCTCATGATATGACCAAAGGACAGGGAGTAATCAAAATCCCTAGCTGACATTCCACACTCAAAGAAAAGGCAAGACGGACATACAATCAGACTGTTACTTCTTCTTCTTCTGCCCTTCTATCCCCAAATGGAGCATAGGCCCTCAACCAACTCACGCCAAGTCGTTCTATCCTTCGCCATTGCATGGAGCTCTCCCCATGTCCTCCCAATCTTTCTAACCTCATTCTCCAGCTCTCTTCTCCATGTGTTTTTTGGCCTTCCTTTATTCCTATGCCCCTGTGGATCCCAATGCAAAGACATTCTAGTTATGCTGTTCTCCTGTTTTCTCAGTGTGTGCCCTATCTAACGCCAGAGTCTTTTCCTCACCTCTTAGTCCACTGGAGCCTGTTTAGTTCTCTCCCACAGCTCTACATTAGTTATTCTATCATACCATTTTATTCCCTCTATTCTGCGCAGGCACCAGTTAATGAATGTCTGTAATTTATTAGTTATTGACTTAGTTGTTCTCCATGTTTCCGCCCCATTCAACAGTACTGATTTGACATTAGAATTAAAAATTTTTAGTTTAGTATTTCTTTTAATTTCTAGACTGCTACTAGAACCACCGGAATTGAAACTTTTCGCTGGCTGCTGAAGATGGAGACAGAGCATTTATGGGAATGTCTAGAGTGCTATGATGTCCGCTCTTGAAACTCAACTCAACCACAAAAAATACACCATCGTTACCAAATCAAACATTAAAAAAATTCCACTCAGCTAAACAGCATAAGCTTACCAAGCACAGGTCCCCGCCCTGCCTCATCGATCCCAAGCCAACAAGGTTCTGCCTGAAGACGTTCACAAATTGGCGATTCAAGTAAACAGTTCTTGCTGCGATTGTTTTCATATTTTGACTGATTCAACATGTTGCAACCTCTTGTGTAGTAAGTTTGAAAAAAAATATATATATTTATTCACACGCACGCACACACATATATATAAAATACCATGAATTTAGTCACTTCTCTAAAGAACCAAATCATATGGTGAATTATATATTGTTGAAACTGCCCAGATACTACTGTATTTATATAACATTTTCTAAGTATTTGTCAAAATTAATTATTTTTTTATTCACTGCATAATCGCTAAAAAATATCTGGACAGCCAGTGGGAAAATACAACAAAAAAACCCATAAAAACATATGACCACATCCGAAGTATGGGTCCCTGTATGGTGTTCCACATCTGATACCCCTCTGTAAGAACTGGACAACATGAAATTAGATTCATAATCCCAATATTATATATATTTAAATTCAAGATTCTTTTCTTCTGTGTTTATCCAAAGATTTAACTGTATTGTGCCTGTTTACAACATGGCTGCAATATTTGCCTCTTTCAGCCAACATATCCTCCTACAGGCATTTCTTGCCTTTCCCAGAAATTTAGGTTTTTATCATAAGAAATTTCAATTATTTGCCAATCTAAAATACAGTAAAACTTCGTTAACATTAATTCCGAGAAACAAAACAAAAACAAAAACACAAAAAAAAATTGTGTCACGTGTGTCATGTTGACGAAACCTAAATTGTGTTCATGGTAACCAATACGTTTGTTAAAGTGAGTTCATATTAACGAGGTTTTAGTGTATTAGTAATCATTATCATCAAACAGCAGATCCTTAACAAAATGTTGCTATCGTCACAGCATGCCTGAAAGTTTCTCTACCTCTAGCGAATTCTCTGGTCCTATTTTCTTTTATAATCAATACATCTTCAATGCCTTATATCCATCTTCATGGAGGTATGCCTCTGTGTTGTTTTCAGAAACAGCAACCTTTTTTTTGAGCGTTTTCTCCAGGTAACTATTATGCTTAACATGGCTAAATGCTTCAGCTTTTTGCAGAGGATGCTGTTCATGAGCTAATTTTCCCAGGTGTTCAGATGCTGTAGGATGTCACCATTTTTTCTCCCTTTGATCAACAGTATTTGAAGAATTGGTACTCCTGTCAAATCCGGACGAAGACTAAAAAGTCTTGGACGACTTAGTCAGAGTTATCTCCCTTTGCCGCATTGCGAACAGTGATCAAAAAAGCCAACGAAACAAAGAAGACAGTCACGTCGACATCAGGGCTGCCAATGACTACGCATCCCTTCACGATGCCTCACGCAACCGTACGCAGCCCTACACGCAACCGTATGATGATAGGTAAGTGTGTCGTTTGTTTCGTTGGCTTTTCCGATCACTGTTTGCAGTGCGGCCAAGGGAGAGAACTCTGACTAAGTCGTCCAAGGCTTTTTATTCTTCGTCCGGATTTGACAGGAGAGCCGAAGAATTTCTCTGTAGCTTTGCAAAACAAAAGCTTTGATTTTTCTTCAAAAATCAATTATGAGTCCATGACTCACATCTATAAGTTGCCACCTGAAAGACGCAAAATCTCAAAATGAGTACTTAATCTTGCTTGCAGGTCATCATCTTATATTTTACAAAATCAGGTGTCGAGGGCAGAAACAGTTAGTGCCCCGACTCTTGATTGATGACACTGTTCACTGTCCTTCCTTGTAAATGAACAATATCTATAATGAAACTAATGCATTTTCTTGGATGCCCTCTTGCATCAGATCTTCTTTGATTTAGCTCCTGTGTTGATAAATAATATTGCTGTACTGGAGGGGTTTTTGTCTGGTAGTAGTAGTAGTAAAGGTGCCTTTTAATACTTTTAGGCATATAGTCCTAGACCTATATTTTTTAGACTAATCGGCTATTGGTGGGTGATGTGGTCAGCATTTACTTCCTACGACTTTACCTGGTACGCATTTAAGTCTGGCTTGACGTTGAGTCAAGGTTATTTTTGGGAAAAATAATCTCGTCTGATGAGGACCTTTGCATCCGCAAGCAGCATCTAGTGACTACACCATGACGGTAGCAGTACAGCACTTTTTCAGCATCACTGTACAATAACAGACATTGTGATGTGTACCAGCAGCAATTTATATATTTTGTTGTGTGTAGAAGCTCCTATTTTTCTAGAAAGAAGAAAAAGGCACACTGTAATGTATTGTATTCTGAAGATATTAGCAAATCATCTGATTTTTAGTCTACAGGTGTTAAAGTTAAAAAGTTGTGAGGACTGTCTTCGTTGCCCCAGGTTACATCCTATATGGCTCAGTTTCTCTCCCTAGAACAGGCTAGCTACTATCGAAAGAGTTACTCCATAACTCCAGTGATGATACCCTGGAGTCTGTGTAAAAGATGCACTCGTGAACAAAATGAGACAGCCATAAAACGAACCCACGACCTTCAAAGTGGAGGTAAACAATTTGATAGAAGGTATTGCTTCCATAATATTTCAGACAGTATCTTACAAAACAAAGGCAGGTAACTTGCAGAATGTTGGAGATTTAATGGCTCTCCTCCGAACTTCTACCCCGGCCAAACAAATACCCTAACAGGGCCTCAGTTGTATGAAAAATTAGGACTTTCTGCAACGAACAAATCGCAGCAAAACTAGGATTACCTGACAATTTCAAGAGATGCAACACTGCAGATGATAGTGGAACAGACGATAATAGTGACTGCAGACGATAATAGCGACCATCGACAATTTCGAGACACGCAACATTACAGACGATAAAAGCGACATGGCGGGGAAACGACGCGCTCCGACGCATTTTAGCAAAACTGTTCTTCTGATCGAGGATTTAGCAGAAGAAGACGTTCGGAGGAGAGCCGTATTTCTCTTCGTTATTGTCCTCACACTTTTCGGCATGCGCAAAACGTGATTAAACTCACCGCCAACAGTATCCCCCGGGGTGGGGGGGGGGGGGGGGGGGCAACTAGATGCCTGGGACTCACGAGCAAATAAATTGGAGGAAGTTGCAGTAGCTGCTGCTCCTGAGTCCCAGCCATCTTGTTTAGCCCCCTATCTGCGCAGCGGCATGGGGGATACCGTTGGTGGTGAGGCATAGTCACAGAAACAGGTCCGCAATTAACATATCGCTGAGACCCTGTTAGAGCATTTGTTTCGTTATTTGGAGCCGATCCTAGTTTTGCCGCGATTTGTTCCTCGGCAGGAAGTCCGCATTTTTCATAGGACTGAGGCCCTGTTAGGGTATTTGGCCGCCATAATGCCGGGGTAGAAGTTTGGAGGAGAGCTGATTTAACTGACCGCAGACGAGTGCCATAATTTTATTTACAAAATATTAAAAAAACTGGATGAGATAAGGAAATTTGGCTATTCTCCCAATAACAGTCCCAAATTATCGAGGCCTAAAATTTACCCTAACAGGGCCTCAGTCACATGTAAACTGCGGACTTCCGGTGACTACCACCCACCGCCCAGAGTATCTACTGTGCCGTGAGAAGTGGGGCTAAACTAGATGGCTGGGACTCAAGAGCAAATAAAATGAAGGAAGCTGCAGGAGATGCGGTAGCTGCTGCTCGTGAGTCACAGCCACCCGTTCTGCGCCGCACGTAGCGGCGTGGGAGATACTTTCGGCGGTGGCGGTAGTCCGCAATTTAGGTCGCCGGAAGTCCGCAATTCAGGTCGCCAAAAGTCCGCAATTTACATATGACAGGCCCTGTTAGGGTATATTTTCGTTCTCGATAATTTGGGACCGTTATTCGGAGGATGGCAGGAAATTTGATAAAGAGAAGCGTGTACACTTTGCACCTGCGCCTAGAACTGTTGTGCTTTAGTTTTTCGAGTTTCACTTTAAAAAAAAAAAAAAACAATAATTAAATCAGTCAAGAAAAGAGTGACACGCGCACTCTTACCAGAGAATGACAGAACTTCAGAAGACACCATGAAAGAGTGAAAGACACAGGCACGCGGATTTTCTTTAATTTAACACAAGGAATATGAAATGCTACATTACATCTAAAGTAAACATTGCAACTTTTTAATAATGTTGACGGTCGTGCAAAACGACAAATGCAATTTGTAAATATGCTGTCGACATTTAAAAACAAATGCCGCTGCTGTACCTTTTTCCAAACACAAGACAAAAAGCCGCCAATTTAAGGTGACACCGCACCCCCTCAACTAAACTAACTTCCAATACAAACAACTTGTAAGGGACACCATCCTCGTTGCATGATCTGTTCTGGTTAATTGCTTTCACAGCAACGCTGGTGAACTGGGGTTGGAAGTTTTGACATAATTATTCAATGATATTTATCACAGTGGAACCGCCTATACCCCCCCCCCCCCACCCAAACTGGAACTATGATTCCACGTGAAGACTGTTTAAAACTATGACCTTTGATGATGATCACCAGTTATAATTTTGTTACTGGGACTTTCATGTCTTTCCAGCAATTTTAGGCTATATGGCTTGACTGCAATTTTACATTTAGTAGTTTGTCATTGCTCACTGCACGGTCAGCACTCGATTAATATAGACTGCAACACTTAGCACTTCGCTAATGGCTGCCATATCCTTCATCTGTGTGCGAGGTTATGCGGCTGTTCAATGGAACGAGCGAGCAGATCTATCTTGCCGACACTGCGGTTGCTATGACTGGTCCAGTACTGGACAGTACAGAAGCGATGTTATCAATGCCATGCGCAGCACTTACAGTATCGAGGAGCTCGCCAAAGGAAATTATTTCGTATCCCTCTCTAGGCGTTTGGACATGGGGGGGGGGGGGGGTGTGCAACCTGGAGGTGAGAGAAATTATCATTTCGCTAAGAGGACCAGACGCTTCATTAATCAACACAGAATAGGTGTCATTAGTCGTTTTACACTGATGGAGTTATTGAGGAGGCGATCATAGCACCCTTGGATCTGTCTGCAGTGCTGTGATGATAGTCCTTACTAATCACGGTCAGCTCTCTATACCACTGTCGAAATCAAGGCGCAGCGGTCAACTGCCCAAACCCATGCAGCTGGAATCGAACTAGCTGCCTCGGAATGATAAAATACATTCGCAACGCCTAAGCCACAGATGCTGACAAGGCAATAATAATAATAATAATAATATAATAGTAATAATAATTGAATGGCAAATAAATATGTTGTGTTGTTCGTCTATTACGAGTGATGAAGTCCATTTTTCATCAAAAGTAGTAACGATCAATGATTATAGGTACGAAGGTGGCTGATTAGTCCAATTTGAGTCCGGAAAGTTTTTGAGCATTGTGGACTACAAGTGGAAGCCGCAGTAGGCGGGGGATTAGCGATACGGTTCTTTCTTGTTTGACTTCGTTTCTCTGCCTGTGCAACCTCGGTTGCCTGGCAAACTGATGCAAATTGCCTGAGGAATGTACGCCAACCAAAGCGGTCCGTGCAGCAGACTCCCTTGTTGCTGTGTTGATGCCAAAAGAGTTGAGAGCAATTTGTAATTTAAATTATAAACATAATTTAAAGTACAACCTCTTTATACCAACCTGCTTAAGAAGAACTGTTACAAGAATACAACATTGTCCAGGCAGCGATATATTAACCTGATGCCTATGTTAGCACAATTGTTTTAATTTTTCACATGAACTATGGATTTTTCGATCATTTGGAATTTGTGTTAATGTTGATTCACTGTATTTGAAATGAAATTAAATGTATTTTAACAAATACATAAGAAGAAAGGTTTATGTATAGTTGAGGGCATTTAGCCCCCTTGAAAATTATCTACGGGCTCGGTCACTCCTCCCGACCCACCCACCCCAACCTATAAATATTTGGGGAGATGTTCGAAGTTTATGAGCTCTCAGGTCCCCTTCCCCATGTGCTGAGGACACTCATGAGAATCATAGTTCATGGCAATAGCCATTGGCGAGTGTGTTTGACTTCTTCTTCCCGTTTCAGCGGCTATAAACTCTGACTTGATATTCTGGTTGTTCCTCCACCTCTGGACTTTAGTCTTGTTTCAGAGCCTGAGTGGTGCGTGCACATCCGTTTTACATGTCTGACTTATTTGTGTGTAGAGAGATTGGGACGGTACCAGTACTAAATTACATCAAAAGAAAATCAAGTGGTTTAGACATGTGTCAAGACTTTCAACAGACAGTGCACCGCAGAGAGCCCTATCACTTAGACAGAGGTCGACCACGCAGACATGGATAGATATCCGAAGCCGTAAATACCAGCATCTACATAGCACATAGTCCGCTCTGTGGCTTCGTAATGCCGGGATGCCGGATTCGATCCCAGCTGCGGGCCATGTGCCTTGCGTTGGTTTCGACAGTGGTATCAAGAAGCCGACCGTCCAGACAGCAATGGCAAACTACTGGACGTAAATGTGCCTGAAAAAAACACACAACAGCTGTTGGGGTTGGTTCGGCAACGTCATGTAAAGGATACACAACTAACCACAAAGCACATACCAAGGTTCGTATCCGATGCCTCTTCAAAACCTGACGCTGAAAGGCAGAACAGAAATAGATAAGAAATAAGTTTTTAAAAGGGTAGGAAATTATAGGAAAGAAAAAAAAAAATGGGGGTTGGGGGGGGGGGGGGGGGGGGGGTGTAAGAAAAAACAAATAGTTTATGTCAGCTTTACAAAATCGATCACAATAAACCAACAAAGGACGTTGCGGTGATTAGCCTTCATCAGCACACAAAGAACAACACAGTATGCATACACAAATAGAGAAGAAGTAGAACTTAACTAAAAAGCAGCTACTGAGATGACTTTGTCATTTGGCAAGCATGCCCTGGTACCAACTGTCACCAGGCTGTAGAAATTAGTATGAGGAATACACAGAGACTCTCACGCAAAAGATGGTACGACAGCAGCAAGAATAGCATTACAGAAATGAGGATTAGTTTGCGCACCAGCTTTAAAAAAGACCACATAGACGATTCCTACACGGAGGACTCACACAAACACACCCATGACCTACTTTAGATCTACTGTAGGTCATGCACACACATACACACACACACACACACACACACACACATATATATATATATATATATATATATATATATATATATATATATATATATATATATATATGTATATACACACACATTTACAAACATTCATTCGCACACACTCACGCACACGCGCGCGCACACGCACACATTTACACAAATACAAACACACTCACATAGAGATGAGACAACTAGAGAATGAGAAGAAGAAAAAATTTGAAGTCAAATGCTTTGAAAGGCTCCAGTAAAAGTTACATTGCTTTGTTCTGTTGGGATTACGCTGATATACATATTATGTGTTACTGAGATAATATAAACGTCTTGAAATAGAACATGTCAAGAAAGACATTCACTTGTATTTAAAATGTTCAACAAAGCTGATTTCACCACGCAGAAGAGCAGTGTCGTTGGTTTGAAAGATGGAGAAGTAGAAAGGGATTCCTACCTTAGGTCGCCAAGTTTACAGTTAATAATATTAACTTTCCGCTGTTTCAATAGCGCAGGGATTGATAAACAGCCGTCACAAATGGTTTGTTACCATACAGTCGCCATTGCATTTTGAAAGCTCATATGATCATAGTTTTTGCCGTTATTTTAATTGTATTTATTTTTATAAATAAATAATTGTCAACATTCTAAATTCTAATTATAATAATAATAAATAAACAATAATATGATCGAAGAAAAAATGACTGTCATTTGTTTTGTTGTTGTTGTTGTTGATGATCTTATCATCACTCATTGTTATCTCAGTCAAGTCCAGTTTTTTTCTTTACATTATGTTTTATTATTAATGATTGACAAATTGTGTGTTATACTTATAATAAATAATACTATATTTCTTGTCGTATATTAATATGAAGTGTAAACAGTGACAATGTAAAATAACGCCAAAACATGGTTGTAGATTAGACGTTTTCATTCATAATCATCTTTAAAATTTATTCAGATTAATTAATTTCACAAACACAACCACTATCCTTGAGTAAATTTTTGAATTTACAGGCCTCCACATCAACAAATCTTGGGCGTCGTGGTGCACACCGCCAAAGACAAAACAGACGTACTCGGAACTCTAGCATTGTTGTTAATGTAGATGACGATGTTTCAACACCAATAGGTACGTACAGTTAACTGGTTGTATACTCATGAGACCATGAGGTTGCAGGCATGCACATGCTTATAAAAAATTGTATCTGCTTGGATAAACCATGCAGAAAATAATATATAGACTTAGCCCTGATGAGGACACAACTTGTAACAGTCCTGTTCATGTTTCCCGGCCCATCTGCACACTACCTGACCTTTCATTTATAGTTTATCAAACTCTTCTACGTCGGAAGGGGGTCATATTGTCTTCCCTCCAGTAACATCAGCGCTGATGTTGCGTGTTTCATACTCCATGACGACACAGCTCTCAGTGACCCCAAAACATCTAGAACTGGCCTTAATCCAGACCCCCCCCCCCCCCCCCCCCCCCCCCAATACCCACGGCCTCAACCTAGGTCACACGAGAGATTCTTTTAGAAGAAAACAGTACAACGTGACACCTCTCTGACCTAGATCAGACTGAGAAAGTGTGTAGATGAGCCTGGAAACGTGAACAGGTCCCTTGTAACCTAATTTTCCAACATTTTGCTTCTTCCCATGTCTAACTCACAATGTATACTTATTGTCGCCATCTGTCTTTCTATGTCATTTTTATTGCTGCTGGTCTGAGGCTTTTTTGCCATTGGAAGATCATGTAATTTTACATTCCTTCATTTCCCTTTCGAGTGCCTTTGTGGTTTAGCAGCTAGACTCTCACCTGCAGATTAGAAGGGTGTGGGTTCGGGTCCTGATGGTACTGGATTTTTTTTTTTTAAATGACATTGGCTCCTAGGTCAATCCAACCTTGAATGGGTATCAGATGGAATCCTGGGAAGTAAAGGCGGATAGCGTGATGTTGACCACATCACCTACCAAGTGAGGAGTAATCTATAAAATATTGCTCTAGCTCTGTAAAAGGTCCTTTACTTTTCATTTCCCTTTCTATATTTTTTCATGCTGTTGTTGACACATAAGGCATTCACAAATGATCTCCATTGCTGCTAGTCTGAGGCTTTTTCCCCAAGGTCTCCCATGTAATTTTGCATTCCTTTATTTCCTTTTTTGTTGTCCTCCAGCCATGATCAGTCTGGGACTGGACATAGGTCCATTTCTAATCGTCTCAACATTGTTTTGCCATTGGATCAAGATGGACACAAATGAGAGAGTGAGGTCGAGAATTGCACAACTCTGCCTCACTCAAATCCAAGTCCTTGCGCAAGTCATTTTCATCCAATTAAGAGGTCCCAGGAGGACAGAAAAAGCTCTATAAGGACATTCAAAACTGCTCCCAATTCTTTTGTCATCAACACAGCTGCTGCACAAAACCATTCTAGATGGCGTACGTCCCTCAGGCATGGTGCATCAGCCTGCCAGGCAGTGGAGGTTGTACAGGCAGAGAAACAGAGGCAGGCTAGAAAGAACCGTATCACTTATTCCACATTTAATGCTGCTTCTGCCTGTTGTCCGCACTGCTCAAGAACTTTCCGGGCTCATTTTGGACTAATCAGCCACCTTTGTACTCATAGTCATTGATCATTGCTACTTTGCAATGAAAGGTGGTCTTCATCACCTTTGACCTGACGAAGACAACACTGGGCAGAAGGGATGTCATCAGCCAGTTTACATTTGTGGAGCTTTCTGAGGAGTACACCTGTGAATTTGTCTAAAGTGCTGTGATGATAATCCTAATCACTATCCTCCAGGTTTTCCTAGGTCATCCACATCTCTCTTTTTTGTATCCATCCACTAGAGAACTGTCCTTGCAAAAGAGTCATGAGGCAACCAGTAAACATGTTCAAGCCATCTCAATCTTCCTCCTTTAAAAACATTTGCCAGTGATGGGCCTTTTGTTTTCTTCCTTAGTTCTTCATGCCTGATCATGTTTAGCAAGATTCTCCTTAGATATTTATTTTGAAAAATCTGGTGTAGAGCGGTTAAGCTATTAGCTAATAAACCTAACACAATGTTATTGGTTTTCCTCTCCATCTGTTCTGTTGTAACAGCATATTCCCTTTCACCCCTTACAATTGTGTCTCTAAAAATGTTGATTGACTACCTGTAACAGCATATTCCCTTTCACCCCTTACAATTGTGTCTCTAAAAATGTTGATTGACAACCTTTGACTACCTGTTCTCTTCTTGAGTTGGTCATCCCTGTTGTAAAAGATGCTTGACTACTTTGTTAACCTAGTCTAAAATGGGTGTTAAAAAAAAAATAACCGGGAAAGAAAAGAATGTTGACCGCATCACCCATCAGATATTGATTTGTTTGAAAAATTATGGAGTTAGCATCATATCTCCAGGGCATTTAAAACATGAAAATTGAATCTTTTATATTTCTTACATATCAAATTAGTTCTGTGCACAGATGCATTTTTTATTGATAGAGAAGAAGAAGAAGTTACTAATTAGTGATTTGCTGAAATTCTGTTTGTTGGGCTGACAGGAGTATTTTTCACAGTCTAGCTGTAGGCCACAATACATTGTGCTGCCAACCACCATTTTAAGGGCGAACACAGAACGAATGAAAGAACAAACTTGATTGTTCAAAGAGTCACAGATTGGGCACATAGGCCCATCTAACGTTCAGCCCTTTCAGACACCATCTTTCACACAGCAGTTGTATTTTATCAATAAAGCATGTTATGTTCGTATAGTAATAGGCATAGTATGAATACCAAGATAAAGCACAAAAGCATAGGTGGAAAAATGTATGGGTACACTTGTGTGTGCACTCACACACACTCATGTACACACGCCCATTCACTCACTTACATACATGCACACATACCTACATAGATACGTACATACTAGGGCTGTACCGAATGTTCGCTTCGTATTCGCTTCGGGGCCGAATAGTGGACCTATTGACTATTCAGTATTCGGCCGAATAGTTGTGGTTGGGCCGAATATAATAGTAGTTGCCTTACACCCGCTTCTGCATACACAGCTTAATGCTAACAACATGGAACGATTGGTTTTGTTGAAAGCTAATACAGCTTTCCTGCATTAACTAAGCTGTCAGTGACAATTTCCAAGTTTAATTACTTGTTATAATACTTAGGATTCTTTCAATCCTAGTTATAAGTTAACACAGACTGACTGAAGGATGCAGAACATAAAATGTGTTTAAATGTTTACTATTCTGTACGACTACTAACTAGACATGGAAAGAATATAAACTCCGGCCACATCCAAGTCAATAATATGAAAATTAAACGAACGGAAACATATAAGTACTTGGGTGCAAACTTTAACTGCTCCAACATGCTGAGAGAAGAAATACAATCTAAAATACAATCTAGAAATAAAGTGTACTATGCCCTTCAACATCTGCTAAAGTCAAAGTGTCTGTCTCGCAACACTAAGATCAAAATATATAAAACGTTGAAAAGACCAGTCGTTTTATTTAGCTCTGAAACTTGAAGCAGAAATAAAAGAGATGAGGCCTTATTAAAGGTTTTCGAAAACAGTTCTAGGACAAATCTTTGGAGCCATCAAAGATGCTAACAGCGGGGAATGGAGAGTCAGAAGCAACAATGTAACACATAATCTGTTTAAATCACCGTTGATCACTGGCATCATGAGAGCTAACACACTAAAATGGTTGGGGCATATTGAAAGAATGTTATATGACAGAGAAGTAAAAACTTTATACACCTGAGAGAGGAATGGGCGTAGACCACGAGTCAGACAACAACAAAAAGTTCGAGAGTACCAGCCAGACCTGCAAACAACTAGTGTCACAAATTGTGAAGATAAGGCCAGCCAGAGAGTTGAATGGAGACGAGTAATATTAGCAGCAGTAAACCTAAAGGGCTGAGAATGCTAAAGAAGAAGATGGCTATTCTGTGCTACTTTATGTGAAGTAAAAGTTCAGCGTACATTTGACATTATAAATGTGTGTTTTTTTAGATATATTTTATACACTATACACTATTCGTATACGGCCGAATAGTTGGTCCCGCTATTCGTATTCGGCCGAATAGTGAAAATCACTATTCGGTACAGCCCTAGTACATACATACAACCTACATACATACACACACACACATACATAATACCTACCTAAGTACATAGGTGTGTACGTACGTACGTACATACATATATACACAGAAGATGAAGAAGAAAGCTGGAACAGCTGGGCAAGAAATATTAATATGAACAACACCCCCTCAGAAGGGCACAGCTCGTGATGAGTGGAAAGCTTAACATCAGATGTGCGTTTAAGCAGTCATTTGTAGAACATGACGATTCTTTGGACGTCTGAGAATGCCCATGATCTGCCACTGCCTTCCGTTGAGGGCTGATTAGTAAACATGCGGATGCCCTGGGACTTCACACAGATAAGGATACGCCATGTCCCTCGAAACCATCCAGGTAGTTAACCTGGTCGACAAATGCTTAATGAAGTCAGATGTGTCGGCCAAAAAGTGCAGATATCATAGCTCTGCTGTAAACAGGCATGTTGTTCGTCCGTCACGAGTGATGAAGACCCCTTTCATCCAAATAATAATGATCAATGATTATGAGTATGAGTATTTTTATGAGTACAAAGGTGGCATAAACAGACATAACACATTTACGTCACTCAGACAAAAAAAAGAAAAAGATATGAACAAGGCTGACTTAATTCAGAATATAAAATTAAAGGAAAATATTGATTTTTTTTTAAACATTTTTTTATATTGTGTGATTGTAAATTTAATATCTGATTCAAAAGAGTTTATTTGAAGATGAATGTGTTCCGTTTTCAGCCACCTGTATTGATTTAACAGAAGACACACCAACTACGGGTGTAATTGATCTGACCAGGGGAGGCAATATAACTGTAATGGACTCTCCAGTTGTGGTAAGTAGATATACATTTTGTTTTTGTTTCACATGTGGACAAAAATTACAGGAATAAAGCTTTGCCAACAGACAGTCATTACTATATTTTCCATGTATAAGAAAGTATGTTTTTCCAAATTTTTAGTTTAAATTAGGGTCATTCTTATAAACAGTGTGGTTAAAATAATTATTTCTGAATTTTGGGTTTGAAAAAAAGTAATCGTTGTCTTGTACACTGGAAAATACAATAATTGGTGCTGTCCAGAGCAGAGGAAGATAAATAGTTTATATCCCTGTGTGGGTTCTGGGGCCCCTTTGTGTAATAAATAGTTTATATCTCTGTGTTGGTTCTGGGGCCCCTTTGTGTAATAAATAGTTTATATCCCTGTGGGGGTTCTGGGGCCCCTTTGTGTAATAAATAGTTTATATCCCTGTGGGGTTCTGGGGCCCCTTTGTGTAATAGTTTATATTCCTTTTTGGGTTCTAGGGCCCCTTTATGTAATAGTTTAAATCACTTTGTGGGTTCTGGGGCCCCTTTGTGTAATAAATAGTTTATATCCCTGTGGGGGTTCTGGGGCGCCTTTGTGTAATAAATTATATCCCTGTGGGGGTTCTGGGGCCCTTTGTGTAATAAATAGTTTATATTCCTGTGGGGGTTTTGGGGCGCCTTTGTGTAATAAATTATATCCCTGTGGGGGTTCTGGGGCCCTTTGTGTAATAAATAGTTTATATCCCTGTGGGGGTTTTGGAGCCCCTTTATGTTAAAAAAAAAAAAAGAATAGGCCCACTGCCTTGCTATCAAGCAGGTTGTAAAAATTTATTAATTAGTTGATTCCTTAGGGGATTCCATTGAAGTCGAAAGGCATTGAAGTCCTGAAAGGCAAGTAATCAAGGGTCTGCATACACATAAGCCAGATTTATAAAATGGATGTGGTTGCTAAATTCAAGTTCTTTAACAAGATTAAAGTCCAGGAATGGACAAATAACCAAAACGTTAAACTGGAGTTTACAGCCGGGGAATGTGGATAAGAAAATATGGTATGACAAAGTAACAATATAAAGTTGTAGGAAAAAACTAAACAAATTCCAGTGAATAAAAAGAAGTGAGAAAAGATGCTGAACATTGATGAAACCTGATATAACTAGAATGTCCTTATGCTGGAACCCACAGGGTCAACTGAATAAAGGCAGACCAAAAAACATAATGAAGAAAAGATTGAAGTGGAAAAGATCAAGAGTACCTGGGACTGGGCTGCACATGATAACAACAGATGGGATAACTTGGCATGAGCTGGTTGAGGACCTGTGTTGCATTGGAGAAAGGAGGGTAGAAAAAAAAAGTCATCCTTGTTTATACTTGACATCTTCCCAGTAGCTGCATTGAAATGAATGCTCCGCATGTTTCTAATTTGGAAGCTGTGGTAGAGTAGACTAACTTGGCCCCCACTTCAACCCAGCGTAAAATGAGTACCAGGAAATGTAGTGGGCTATTTTCTTTGCAGTCACTATCTGTAAACTCAAGCAGAAAGTTCTGATTGCTGACCTACTTTTGGACTTTAATCTTCTTCCAGAACTTGAATTTTGCATGCACATCTATTTTACAGATCTGGCTTTTATGTTTGCAGACTGTTGGTCCCTTGACTTTCAAGCAGATGCACTCCAGCTTTGAAGGAAACCCTGAATTAGTGGACTCTTACAACATGCTTTTTAGGGGGCAGTGGGTCTATTCCTTTTTTCTCACCCCGCAGTGGGGCCCCAGAACCCACACCATGAGTGTAAGATGCTGTTGACAACCTCACCCATTTAACGTCCTACTGGTCTATAAAAATATATGTAAGTCTAGCGTCAAATTACTGATGCACCACCGGCGGGAAAGTGTCCACACAACAGTGCATTTAGACATGACGCCGTTCATTCCCTCACACAAGACACAGCTCTACATTCGCACATGACACCTTTCATTCCTTCACACAACAAACAACAGGGCATTTAGACATGACCCCTTTTATTCCCTTACACGACGCACAACAGTACGTTCACAAATGACATCTTCCATTCCCTCACACAAAACACAACAGTCAATTTACACATGACATCTTTCATTCACTCACACAGGACACAATAGTACATTCACATATTTATCAGTTGTGAAGAATGACCAAAAAGCAACATTCCTAGAGCATTCAGTGGCTACATGACAAGCATCAGCTTGAAACTACCAATTACGTCTACTTCAACAATGGGCTAAATGTGGTTTGTATTTCACGATCCTTGACATATTAGAGTTTGATTTCTGTGGCGGGCAGTTTAGACAAAGACAGTACCTGAAGCTTTTGGTCAGAGGTATGAGAGTCAAACCATGGAAGAGATTGGGACCTCACTACATAATTGATATTTCCAAAAACAACAGTAAAGACACCTGCAGCCCACTTCCATTGTGGGGACAGCACAATTTTTAATATGTGTTTTGATGTTCGCGCATCGCATGTGATTAGCTAAAAGATGCAGTCTTTATGAACATTTTTCTTCTTCAGCCTTTACTGTGAAAAGGGTGGTTGGTATTTTGTGGTTTACAGCTAAGCTGTGGTATCTGTGCACTTTGGCCTAACACATCCAATGTCAGCAAATCCTTAATTAGTCGCCTTATATGACATGTTTCTTAGGGAGCAAGGGATCTACCCCACAATGAGTTCCTGGAACCAGCTCGGCGAATAAATGTTTTTAGTTTGTGAAGTTTTATTTTTCGTTTTTTAAATGTATTTTTACATTTAAAAAAAATGTTTATTAGAAGATTTTAAAAAAATTGGCTACATTGTAAACACATTATATACTGAATCTATGAGAAGTAAAGGTTACAGAGAATAAGAAATAACATCCTTAATGGCTAGAGCTCTCATTTTTGTGATATACTGTTTTTTGCAGGTTCTGACACCAGCAGATGGCATTGGTAAGAACTCAGAGATGTATTCTGTTTACTTGCTGTTGTTTTTTCGAATTGGAAACAACAAAACAGTTCCCACATCAAACATCACTGTGGTATACAATAAACAGTAATGGAAAGCATAGTTCGTAGATGATGAAACTTGGGGCTGACCAATAAGTTATTGTAAACTGGATATTAATGGTATAATCTATAAAGATTTGTATTGTGTTTATATAGTGCTTGCCAGTTTTTATTTGTGTGTTTTGATTGTTGATATAATTTGATTGGGGTAGTTTTTTTTTTTTTTTTTTCTAGTCTGAAGATTTAAATGTTCAGTAAAAGCTGTTTCTCAAGGATTCTGCCATGTTTCTTTACTTTCATAATCTTAAAGGTCCAATGAGGAGAATACGAGGAAGTGGAAGACGAGGCAGACACAGAAGCAGCTCCAGACGTAGCATTCATGCAGAACTTTTCCCTTCGGGAGATGGCCGCACACCACTAAGATCATCTTACGTTCTGTCATCAGAAGACAGCGATTCAGATGAGTTGCCTGATACACCAATTATGATCTCAGAATCAAAGTAATTGTTTCTTTATTAATTTTCTAGTTTTCTTTTTACTCAGTCATACAAAATGGAAGGCAAATTTGTCATCTGCTAGTTATGTACGATTGTGTGCGCATGCGTATCACCTCTAGTCAAGGGAGGATTTATAGTGTCTGATTCTTAGTCTATATTGCCTAAGGGTAAAGAAAACAACAACAACAAAAAAAACCACAATGAGTGAGTACCAAATATCATCAGATCTACATTTTAGGGGCTGGTGTGGATATATTGTCCGTGGATGCCTTAGTGCAAGATAATTTAAAAAAAAAGAGAGAAGGTTTTGTTGTTGTTGATGCTACAAAGGCTACACCAGTAGTTTTAAACCTTGGGAACCTTCCTTCTAGGGAGGAGGAAGGGGGGGGGGGGGTTTATTGGGCAAGAAAGTCTCAAGAGGTATCAAGCAAACTTCAAATGAAGTTCCTGTGCACTTGTAAACAGAACGGCACTGCCAGCCTGATGTGAAGTGTGATCTTTCCTTGTCCAGCATCTGACCAAAACATCAGCTGATGTCAAGACAAAACATTGCCAGCCATCACACTGACATGTGGACACTTAATGACCAGTTATTTATGATTGTTTCTTTTATGTAATTTCACACTTTGATTTATGTAGACATTTTTGATCCAAGATCTTGTTCAAAGTGCTTGGGATTTTTCTTTTTGTCCTTCTTGCTGTTGATACGTTTCTAGTAAGACACTGATAAGATGAATTTCTCTTAAGTTGACATGACCACCCTAGTCCCGAACATTTTCTTTCTTTATCTTTGTACATTAAATCCTGTTAAGTTGAATTCAGTTAACTCGAATGTTTGGATAAGTCGAATCTAAAAAGAAATTCCGACTATATACATGTCCCTGTTAAAGTCAAACTGTTCATCATCACCATGAACAAATTTTTTTCATCAAAGAATTTTCTTTAGTCAGCCCGGGAAAAAACGTGAAATCTCGCAGCTGCAATATCTCCCTACATACAGTATTAACAATGCTGGCTGGCGGCCGAAAGTTAACTACTTTATAAAGAAAGATTGAACATAGTGGGAAGAAAAAAGTGGATATAGCTTGGGAATATGGTATTCCAAGTTTGACGTTTTCCGGCATTTTAAAGCATAAAGAAAACTATAGAACATTGTTTTTTGAGTATCAAATCAACAGTGACAGACAGCGAGTTTGAACAGCGACATGCAATTTTTTTTATACTGCCCTTTTAAAATGGTTCACCGTGCTTACGGCGGCACATGTACCCGTAAATGGGCCATTAATTATGACAAAAGCAGAGGAATTTGCACGTCTTGGAGGTCAGACCGACAGGAAATGTAGTGCTGGCTGGTTGGATCGTCAAAAAATGCGGCAGCAACTAATTCATGGACAGAAGATGTGCTTAAACTTGCTATGGCTAAATATAATTCTGAGGATGTAGTTAATGCTGATGAAACTGGCTTATTTTGGAGACTGTTACCTGAGAAAATATTTTTTTTTAAATGAAAAGTGCCACGGTGGGACAAAATCAAAAAGAAGAATAACAATGGTTGTGTGTTGCATTATAAATAGTGATGAAAAATGGCCTTTATTCTTGATTGGGAAATTTAAAAATCCTTGTTGTTCCAAAGGCCTGACCAAATTGTGTGTTAATTAGAGAGCCATTTCAAAGGTGTGGATGATATCAGAATGGTTTGCTGAAAGGGCCACAAAAATGTGATTCTTCAATGATGCGTAAAAAAAAAGGTCTTTTAGTCGTTGACAGTTGTTCAGCCCACAGAAGAACTGACACTTTGAGAGCAACAGAACTTCTGTTTCTGTCGCCTAGTGCCACATCAGCACTTTAGCCTTGTGATCAAGGTATCATTCAATATAGATCTACAATGTTGTCAAAACTTGAAGGTCATATGGATGCTGACCTCTGTTCTGATTTCAAAATAACCCTTCTCATTGCTTTTATAATGTGAAAATCATCATGGGACAGATTTTTATCTGCAACTGTTGCAAACTGCTTTAGACAAGCTGGCTTCTTACCTGCATTAGATGTGCCAGTGGGCTGCAAGCACAGTCAGATGTTGACATGACGCAGACTTAGTGTTCAGATGATGTAATCTAACCATTTGTTGCCTTTAAGCATGCCATGGAAAGACATTTTTCACAATCCAAAAAGAAAAGCAAAATCACAGATTTTTAAAATTATTGTCTGAATTTTCATATGGTTTTGATGTTTTACCTTCTAACATAAATGTTTCAACATTTCTGATATTGTTTGCTACATATTTGTTACTTATGATGCTTCCTAACTGGTATAATTGTTTTACTCAATGATCCTGCTTAGTTTTAATGTACATTCCCTGTTGTGTGTGCTTTCTTGATAAGTAGAAGTCCTGATAAGTGCAAGCATTTTCTTAGGTCCCTGTGACTTCTACTTATCCAGACTCGACTGTAGAATGCCTTTAGTTACAGAGGAAGGTGTTATGAAGAACATTCTGTGACTTAATCAAGAACTGTGTGTGTTTTAGTGTTTTCATTTATCGATGTTTCATTAGTTGCTTTGTGTGGAATGAATTATCAAGAAATGACGCCGATGAATCCATATCCACTCTATCTCCCTCCTCCAACAGTAGGGTCTCTTTGTTATTGTTGTGTAGTTCATGTTTAGAAAGGCTCTAATTGAAATGTCAGTTTGTCTGTTATATGTTCATTGTTTCCCTTTCCACTTTTGTTAGGTTTTTTAGTCACAGCTCAGTGGATTAATTTCTTGGTATTAGCTGGACTGCAGTCATCTCTGTTTTAACCACTTAATGAATTTTTTTTTTTTAAACACAATGAATGAGTCCAGAATTGACATCACTGCGCTCAAGGCATTCCCACATATGTTCTGCCTCCTTCCTCTGTAGCTGGCCAAAAATTCCCATACTGATGAATTTGTTTCATTTATTTGAATTCCTTTACCCCTTTTAGTGTGGCAGCCAATGAAACTATCATGCGATCCCCAGAAGGAGTGAAGATTTCCTGCCCAGTCTGTTTAGATGACACAAAGCAGGTAAACTTAAATTTCTTAAAGCCTGTTTGTATTTCAGTGTTTTCAGCAGAATGTTTTTGTTTTTCAGCTGAAAAATTTTGAGAATCGTGATTTTGAGGAAAAGTGGAACAAGAAAGAAAAATTGTAAAAGATGCAAGGAATTATTTGAAGATAATTTTGTGTGGGATTGTCATAGGAGGCCAAAATGTATGTTTCCCCTTCTTTTTCTTCATTATCATCGTCTTTTGTTTCTTCTTCCCTCCTTTGTAATATAGGCCATCATGCATCTCATGCTAAACTCTTGTAGCGTAGTTATGATTGTTTGGTTTTTGCAGAATTCTTCTTCTAGAGATTTACCTCTCCTACATCAACTATGTATAGGGTATAGTGTTAGTAATATTGTTTTATTCTCTCTGGGCTCTGGTAACCAATAGACTTCAAGGCTGCTGTCTTCTGCCTTAGTTCTGAAGGAGTAGCCATTCATATATCACATTTCGTAAGTTTAAAACCCTTTTACCATGGAGACTCTTTGGGAAAAAACGCAGCAACAACCCCCCCACCCCCCCCCCCCCCCAAACAAAAATGCTTTGAAAAAATAACAAATTAACATGTTAGACACTAATACTTTTTTTAATGTATTTATTTGCGTTTTTAACTGATTAGTTAAAAAAATGAATGAAGGGGGATAATAAATACACACTAACAGAGCAGAGAATTAAACAACTATAGTCCATTGCGCCTGAAAAAAAAACTTTATATGGTGATTCATACTCTGACCTTGTGACCCAGATTACTAGAAGTTATGAGAGAATTGTAATGCCATCATAGCTAAAAAGCAATCACCCCCTCCCCCATTAATTCACAGTAATAACCCCCCACCCACCCCATTCTAGAGATGCTATTTTTAGTAAATAAAAACACACTCTGGTCCCCCTAAATACTGTGCAGGCATAAATGGAACAACCCCACTAACTAGAAATGGCCTTTTAACATAGTAATGTTGGTTACGCGGCTTCTCAAGGATCAGTAACCAGCGGAAAACAATAACATCCCTTTCCACAGTTTTTGTTTTGTACTGCACTTTTAAAGTCCATGTGCTGATAGATCTGTAAGGCACATCTGATAAGTACTTCTTTTTTGGCATACATACATGACACATGTACCTTACACACATATGCACATGCATAATTACATACATACATTATATGTATTCATTTATCACATCACAGTGTATCAACATTTCTAATCTTGTATCTTATTTTTAATTTGTAGATTCAGCGGAGTGGAAAAATTGTTATGTCAACGACTTGCGGCCACATATTCTGCGATCAGTGCATCAAAGCAGCAATTACTGCCCAACATGCTTGTCCAACTTGTAGGAAGAAGCTGTACCAGCGCAACATACATCCTTTGTTTATTTAATTGTTTTTTTTGGTTGTTTGACTGGCTGATATCTCCATTGGCCTGGCCTGTATAAGAGAACCACTCAGCTGGTATTGTAGGTGTTTGGCATAAATAGAGAAATTAGTTTTTGATGTTTGCACCGTTGTCAGGCTTGTTTGTGGGTGGGTGTGTTGGTGTTATATCAAATACAGAATTGAGTGCTTCAGAGATGTTTTGGTTGCCTAATTTATCTCATCATTGTTATTGTCAACACCATTGTCATCATCATCATCAGTTGGCAGAGTCATTTATGACTGTCCACAAATTTTGATGTTATTGAGCATTTCTGTTTATGTTCGTTCGTTGGTACCTTTCTTAAAGTAGTGTTATATTTCTACATATTGCCATCTTAGACCCTTCACCAAAGTTTCTCTTGACTTTTCTCTGCTTTTTTTTAACCACTGATCTCTCCTGTCACAATGTTCCCCTGTGTCTCTCTTCTTATTACATGGCCAGAAAACACTGCATATGTTTAAAACATCACTTTTAGATGGGTTTTTTTCTACATAAATTTCATGGTTAAGTGTAACTGAAGAAATATTATGTTTGGGTTTCCAGTTAAACAGCTGTTGTAAGGAAACCCTTTCTATTTCTGCCATAGCTAGAAAAGGGAGGGTGGGGGAAGGGTGAGAAGGGGCTCTCAACCCTTACCAAATACCCATTATGCATGTATGACAGGACTTCATGCTAAAAACTCTAAAGTGTGAAAGAAATTACATTAAAGGAAGCTATGCTGTTGTCTTATAACTGTCAGTATTTTTGTTAAGGATGTCAAGAGTGTTAAGCATGTGACACCACAGTTAAGACGAACAGGGTGACATAATAATGATGGTTTGAACATGGCCTCCCCACTTTTTACATGCACCAAAAAGGAGCAGGTTCTGTAATGTTTTTTTTTTTTAAATCAGTGCAGGGGTAAAACCTATTTAAATTCATCAGTGGATGAAAGTCTAGAATGGTCATTGTCACTCATAGACAATCAGCTGACAGAAGTCATGCCATTTTGAAACTGCCTACTTGACTTATACACTTGCTGGACTAATAGGCATGCATCAGCATATTGGACCTTCATTCACCAATTAATTTTTATAGGTTTCACCCCTTAATGATTTTTAAAAAAATCCGGTAACTGAGCTCTGCTCCTTTTCAGAAATGGGGTGGAAATCTTGAAACTACAATTATTACGTCACCATGTTTGTCTGCACTGTAATGTCATATCCTTAACACTCTTGACTTCCTTAACTTCAATATTGGTAGGTTAGAAGACAATAGCAAGGTTATTATAGTTTCTGTCGCACTTCAAATATTTTCATTTCAAGCCACCTCTCACATTTGTCACCTCTGATAGCAACAAGTTCAATTTTTGGCCCTCACCGGGTGGAACTGTTTAATCCAACAGAAGGAGCATCGGAGAGTATCTGGTCCCCTTTCTTAACTCACTGGTAGGTGTAAGACTGATACTCGAACTTCACATCTGTAGAGAAGCGTAAAAGGATGTAACCAGGTCATGCTTTGACGCAGCACACATCCTTGTGTAGGTTCTGGGGCCTAATTTTGTAAATCAGCTGTGTTGGTTTAAAAGGTGCAGATATGGCAGCATAAGTAAGTAATATCGCAACATGCCAACAACCAACCTAGTTGTGGCAAAGGCAGAAGAAGAAGACTCGGCACACAGGCCAGCTTAGATGAGACCCAGGTAGGTAATGTTTTCTCTGTATCTTTAAAATAGTTAATTGTTTAAAAAAAAAAACAGTGAAAATTTTAAGTAAACATTCACCTTAAGAAAACATCACCATCTTTAAACATCAGAAAAAACGAGCACTGAAATGTTACATAGAGCCTTTTCTGTTGTATGGCAGTAAATCTTGGAATGTGAGAAAACAATTTAAAAAGAGTTTGAAGGCAACTGAGTAGTGGTTCTTGAGAATGTTGCAAATACCTTGGACTGCCAGAATAACTAACAATTATTGCCTGAAAATGGCTAACGAAAGTAGAACATTATATACAACATTAAAAAGGAGATAAAGTTCTTTGGTCATGTGATGAAAAAAGGAGCACTGGACCATATCGTGATCACTGGTAGCAGAGGCAGACCCAGAAAAATGATGGTGGATGACTTAAGACAGTGGCATCTAGGAAAATCATCTCTGGAATCGATCCAGAACAGCAAAGACCGAGATCTGTGAGATGCATGAACACCTACGCCAGCTGGCACGGCACTTGATGGTGATAAAACTTTCACCACTAAATAATCTAAACACAATGTTAATTGAGTGAAGTTCAACCCCACCAGGACCACACAATGGGCGATAAACACCCGGTGACACAAAGTGCCACTATTCAGATGAGAAACACCCTGGTACAAGTCCCAGAAACCCCGTTCAGCTGTTAGGTTTTATTAGGGCCCCCCAACAACGGCCTGGGCGGTCCTTTAACAAAATTGCGCCCCGTATTGGTACTGCAATGCAAATATACAAACAGTGTTGTTCAATCCAACCAGCACTGTACAAGCATCCAACACCCGGTGACACAAAGTGCCACCATGCGGTTGAGGATCACCTGTGGAGAGGTTACAGAAACCCCTTTCAGCCGTTGTGGCCCAGCTATATTCAGGGCCCTCAGCAAAAGCCAGAGTGGGGCTTCAAATAACGAAAAATTGCATTCCAGAAGGGAACTTAGTTAACTAGTATGGTTAATAAGTAAGTAACTTTTACCTCACCAGGACATCAAACAAGTGTTAAACACCCGATGACACAAAGTGCCACCATGTGGATGAGGATCACCCGTGGAGAGGTCCCTGAAACCACTTTTAGCCATTATACCATTTTTATGGCCGGGCTATATTGCGACCCCTGGCCAGAGCCAGACATTTAGAGGCCCTTTCCCCATCAGAAAATGTGTAAGAGGGCTCCAGCCATGTAAATAAGATCTCTTCGTAAGTATTTTTTGTTGTTGTTTATTTCATATTGTTTTCATTATATTTATTTATCATTCAGCTTATTATTATTATTATTATTACTATTATGCACACTTAAGGCTTAGTTCCCTCAAGTGCCTAATGGAGAAATTACTAAGGGGGTTCTACTCCTCCCCCCCCCCCCCCCCAAACTGGTACAGCAATATTTTTTTTTTAACTGTCAGCACCCCTGGGTCTCTTCAAAAGGAACGTGAGCACTTGGGCCGCTCGACAAGCCAGCCACAAAATAATACTGCTAAGTGAGCCAAAAATCACCACAGAGAGAGTGACCAAGGACGTCGGCGTTAATAATTGAACCCTTTCGACCACATAATAGAAAGAATTGCCGGCGGGTGTGGGGAACAGCAAACCTTATTTGACGTATCTTCTTAACAGTGGTGGAGAAAAAACCTGTTCGCCGGCGGCTAGGAACAATATCTCCGTTTCATTGTTTCCAGCACTAGCGATGCAGCCTACACCATTCCGAAAGTGGCGACTTCATTTTGGCCAGCATTTCAGAGGCATTGTTGACTGGAGCGTTCCTATTTTGGCCAGAGTGACAAGTAAATGGCTGGGGAAAGAGCAAGAAAATACATTTTTGACAAGTGTAGAAAGTGGGGTCTTGATGCCAGCAAAATAATGAAGAATGGTAATAAGGAAGGACTGAATTCTCTTCATTTGCTAAGAAAAATGTCTGAGAGCGCGGCCAACTTAACGTAATTTCCTCTCTTGATCAGTATTCAATGACCTCATTTGAGACGTCCTGTCCGTGTTTTTCTGCTTCACGACGAAGTTAAGCCCAGAGATGGTGTAAAGTGGACTCAGTAAGAAGTTTTTTTTTTTTACCACACAGCTGTAAATAAATGTAGACGTTTACAAACATTATGTATTCTTCTTCATGTCTCGTAGCTCTGGTAATCATGTTATCCACATTCTTATATCGGGTGTACTGTTAATCACTTCTGATACAGAGTATCCTCAATGCCACGATTATTCAACATTTTGTCTCTGTCAAGTTAATTTTTGCTAATATTACCACAGGCGCTGGAACCTGGGGACTCTAAGCATCTTCTCATTGTTTTTTTTTTAAGGAGAAAGAGAAGACTGACCCTCGCTTCTGACCCCCCCCCCCCCTCCGCCCCCCCCCCCGCAAAAAAAAAAAAAATAAGCTAGTCACAAGTTCCAGGGCTTGAAAAAGTAAAGGCTGATAGGGGGAAACAGAGATTGCGGGGAGAAAACAAGCGATTGATGGGGGAAAAGCAAGCGATTAAGGGGGAAAACACAAGAGATTTAGGGGGGAAAAATCAAGCGATTGAGGGAAGAAATCCAGGAGATTGAGGAAAAATAAACAAGAGATTGAAGGGAACAAACAAGAGATTGAGGGGAACAAACAAGAGATTGAGGGGAACAAACAAGAGATTGAGGGGAACCAACAAGAGATTAAGGGGAACAAACAAGAGATTGGGGGGAACAAACAAGAGATTGAGGGGAACAAACAAGAGATTGAGGGGAACAAACAAGAGATGAAGGGGAACAAACGAGATTGAGGGGAACCAACAAGAGATTAAGGGGAACAAACAAGAGATTAAGGGGGAAAAAAGAGAATGGGGGATTTAAAAAATCTTGCATTAAACCCTGATGTCCGTTAACGTCAACACCTCATCTTCTCATTCGACGCCCGCTTACTTTCACTCCAGGTCTTTCTAAGTCTAACACCTGTGTTAGTATTTGTTGTGGTAAAAAAAAACTGCTTCCATTAGTTACTAACTCTGTTTGTGGCTCGCTAGAACAGCTACAGGCGACCCAAACATTCGTATTAATTAATTGTCGACAATCTCCGGTTCTAAATTCTGTCGGAAAGTCCTGATTGTTTTTCCACTTCTGGACTAAGAGTCTTCCCCGTGTGGGTTCGAGGAAAACAAGAATAGATCCAATGTTGCCTACCCAAAAGCATGCCATAAGAGTCGACCAACTGAGAGCTTCATACGAGGAGCGCATCTGCAAAAAAAAAAAAAAAAAAAGG